ACATTGAAAACTTTTTATGAATAACCCAAAGGCCTAGGGTGCTTAAATTTAGCCAGTAACATGCTCGGATTAAGGGCTACCAAGTTTGTTCAAATGAATGACCTTGACATATATTCAAGGTCACAGGGGTCAAATATGTTTAAAACCTTTGAATGACTTCTTCTTAATAATCAAAAGGCCAAGGGTGATGATATTTGGCTATTAACATGCTGGGATGAAGTGCTACCAAGTTTTTTCAAATGAATGACCTTCACCCATATTCAAGGCCACAGTGGTCAATATATCTTTAAATCTTAAATGATTTGTTCTGTATATTTACAACCAAAAGGTCCAGGGTAATGAATTCATATTTTGCTAGAAGCATGCTGGGTTGGAAGACTTTAAACTCTGTTCAACCTAATGCCTTTGTTCGACATTCAAGGTCACAGGCGTCATATGTTTAAATCTTTTAGTAGGTTCTTATGAATCAAACACTGATATATATTCTGCCTGAAGTTGTATTTTAGTCCACTTTTACGATAACAAGTGTGAGATTAATACCAGGTGAGCAGTTCAGGCCTCTTGTTGTATGAAAATTGCATAACTATATGCAAAAGGCTAAAAGTTTGTAATTATTACATAACTAGAAGTGCTGATTGATGGATTTTATTCAGGGCCATAGGTATATTTTACAAAGTGACCAAGGGGAACATACATATGAAAGAGTTAAAAAAAAAAATGAACTGTCAAAATTCAAGATGGCTGTCTTGTGGCCATCTTGGTTTTCCTATCAGTCCAAAAAATCAATATGTATAACAACCGAACATGGGGAACCCTCAAGTGAAAGTTGAGAAAGATCCCTACAGTTCTTTCTGAGAAATAGTACTAAAAATCTTTAACACTCAAAATTCAAGATGGCCACCTGTCGGCCATCTTGGTTTTCCAATCAGTCCCAAAAATCAATTTTCGACACTATAACGACCATTGGAATCTTCATGTGAAATAGAGAAAGATCCCTCAAGTACTTTCTGAAAAAAAAGCGCCTGTTGGCCATCCTTGTTTTCCAATTTGTTCCAAAATTTGATATTCATAACCAGGCACCATGGGGCAACATCACATAAAATTTGAGAAAGATCCCTCCAATACTTTCTAAGAAACAGTGCTTATAAGAAGCGCTTAAGGACAGCGGAATGGCGGACACCAGAGTTACAGACAGTGTATAGGTTTATGTATTTTACACCTAAACTGAGTTACAGACGGTGTATAGGTTTATGTATATTTTACATGTACCAAGTTACAGGCAGTGTATAAGTTTATGTATATTTTACATGTACCGAGTTAAAGTGTATAGGTTTATGTATATTTTACATGTACCAAGTTACAGGCAGTGTATAAGTTTATGTATATTTTACATGTACCAAGTTACAGACAGGGTATAGGATTATGTATTTTATACCTATACTGAGTTCCAGATAGTGTATAGGTTTATGTATTTGATACCTATACTGCGTTACAGACAGTGTATAGGGTTATGTATTTTATACCTATACTGTGTTACAGACAGTGTATAGGGTTATGTATTTTATACCTATACTGAGTTCCAGATAGTGTATAGGTTTATGTATATTTTACATGTACCAAGTTACAGGCAGTGTATAAGTTTATGTATATTTTACACGTACCGAGTTACAGACAGTTTATAGGTTTATGTATTTTACACCTAAACTGAGTTACAGAGTGTATAGGTTTATGTATATTTTATATGTACCGAGTTACAGACAGTGTAGAGGTTTATGTATTTTATACCGATACTGAGTTACAGACAGTGTATGGGTTTATGTATTATTTACCTAAACTGAGTTACAGCCGGTGTATAGGTTTATGTATATTTTATATGTACCGAGTTACAGACATTGTATAGGTTTATGTATTTGATACCTAAACTGAGTTACAGGCGGTGTATAGGTTTATGTATATTTTATATGTACCGAGTTACAGACATTGTATAGGTTTATGTATATTTTATATGTACCGAGTTACAGACAGTGTAGAGGTTTATGTATTTTATACATAAACTGAGTTACAGACGGTGTATAGGTTTATGTATATTTTATATGTACCGAGTTACAGACATTGTATAGGTTTATGTATTTTATTCCTAAACTGAGTTACAGACAATGAACAGGTTTATGTATTTTACACATTTTTTGATTTACAATGTATAGTTTACAGACAGACAGTGTATAGGTTTATGTTTTTTATACCTATACTGAGTTCCAGATAGTGTATAGGTTTATGTATATTTTATATGTACCGAGTTACAGACAGTTTATAGGTTTATGTATTTTATCCCTAAACTGAGTTACAGACAGCGTACAGGTTTATGTATTTTATACATAAACTGAGTTACAGACGGCGTATAGGTTTATGTATATTTTATATGTACCGAGTTACAGACATTGTATAGGTTTATGTATATTTTATATGTACCGAGTTACAGACAGGGGATAGGTTTATGTATTTTATTCCTAAACTGAGTTACAGACGGCGTATAGGTTTATGTATATTTTACATGTACCAAGTTACAGGCAGTGTATAAGTTTATGTATATTTTACACGTACCGAGTTACAGACAGTGTAGAGGTTTATGTATTTTATACATAAACTGAGTTACAGACGGGGTATAGGTTTATGTATTCTATACCTAAACTGAGTTACAAACAGGGTATAGGTTTATGTATTTGATACCTAAACTGAGTTACAAACAGGGTATAGGTTTATGTATTTGATACCTAAACTGAGTTACAGCCGGTGTATAGGTTTATGTATATTTTACATGTACCGAGTTAAAGTGTATAGGTTTATGTATATTTTACATGTACCGAGTTAAAGTGTATAGGTTTATGTATATTTTATATGTACCGAGTTACAGACAGGGGATAGGTTTATGTATTTTATATCTATACTGAGTTACAGACAGTGTTTAGGTTTATGTATTATTTACATGTACCGAGTTACAGACATTGTATAGGTTTATGTATTTGATACCTAAACTGAGTTACAAACAATGAACAGGTTTATGTATTTTACACCTAAACTGAGTTACAGACAATGAACAGGTTTATGTATTTTACACCTAAACTGAGTTACAGAGTGTATAGGTTTATGTATATTTTATATGTACCGAGTTACAGACAGTTTATAGGTTTATGTATTTTATCCCTAAACTGAGTTACAGACAGCGTACAGGTTTATGTATTTTATACCTAAACTGGGTTACAGACGGTGTATAGGTTTATGTATATTTTACAAGTACCGAGTTACAGTGTATAGGTTTATGTATTATTTACATGTACCGAGTTACAGTGTATAGGTTTATGAATTTTATACCTAAACTGAGCTACAGACAGGGTATAGGTTTACGTATTTTATACCTAAACTGGGTTACAGACGGTGTATAGGTTTATGTATATTTTATATGTACCGAGTTACAGACAGTTTATAGGTTTATGTATTTTATATCTATACTGAGTTACAGACAGGGTGTAGGTTTATGTATTTTATACATAAACTGAGTTACAGACGGCGTATAGGTTTATGTATATTTTATATGTACCGAGTTACAGACATTGTATAGGTTTATGTATTTGATACCTATACTGAGTTACAGTCAGTGTACAGGTTTATGTATTTTATACATAAACTGAGTTACAGACGGGGTATAGGTTTATGTATTTTATACCTAAACTGAGTTACAAACAATAAACAGGTTTATGTATTTTACACATTTATTGATTTACAATGTATAGTTTACAGGTTGATGTGTTTTATTGTACATTATGGAGATAAAAACAGTGTAAAGGATCACATATTGTATACACTTATTATATTTACTTTGTCTATAATTCAAGCGTCTGTACATTATCATAAACCTATAACTTTGTTTTATACCCTAAAATTTAATATTAAGCCACAGCTTATTTTTATTTCCTATACGGAATCCCAGGCCTATTTCCAAGTCCTTCTTTTTTTGTATTAGGACAGAAAAACACCTTTTATCATATTGCTGCAATAATAAATGATGTCATAAAATGAATAGCTGTAAAACCTGTATATAGGCCAACAAGACTAGCTGTAAAACCTGTATATAGGCCAACAAGACTAGCCTACTTTCAGAGATGGTTTATTATCAAGATATGTGTGACTGTAAGTAATCCAAAGCTAATTTTCAATGTCGGCCTATTTTTTTAAAAATTTCAATTAATATTGAGAATTTAGGGTACTTCAGCTATTTTATTCCCTACCTCCTCCTACCCAAATAAAATCTCATACAATCTATGTACATCAGCCCTATTCCATTGTCTTCAATTCATATTATTCATTAAAATAGAAATCCAACAGAAAGAAAATCAAAATGATTCTATGCCTTTTTTGATACCTGCGTTGTGTGGATTAAATGTACCTGTATTCTAATACATGTATCAGTATTCTAATAAATCTTGATTATATATAACACACGAAATGTTATACCCTGCATTTCATTCAATTTTGATTATTTGACCCTTAAAAAATAATGATATCATATCAATATTTATTCAGTTCCTTTATTTTGACAAAAGCCATATAAAAGTTTGTGTTTATTTACAGACATTATATTTACATCTTTCTCATCTTCAGCTTAGTAAACTCTGACTGTATATAAATTAGCTTATACGCAGTGAAAAAAGACTTGGAGGATTGATACTTGTTTCAAATATGGCGCCTCTCGCACTTCAACGCGATAACAGTCCGATGACAACCATTGCTTGGTTCCTTCAAAATCTGGGAACATGGAACATATTCATGATCCATTGTATTTGATTATACAACAAATGGATGCTGACAACCTTTTTATTCCATGGATGCACATTCAAATTTCTTTGACGGTAATGCAAACAATGGTTGCTTTGTCCTGAAACATTCGACTGCCTCACTCCATCACTCCATGAGCAGTGTGTCAATGTGCATAGTTATTATTGTAGTTATTGTATTGTATAACGGCCCATCGACAATTTGAGCCAAAAAACAATTTAAAAGATAGACATTCACAAACTCAAAAAATGATACATGAAAACTAGAAACAAAAGGTTTGTGTAAATGATGTCAAAATATATCAATAGCAAACAAATATATCACGCATGACAATTGTTATAAATGAATAAAAATGTTTGAAAAGCTCCTCACACTACTTGTTTCCAAAGTTAAAAGTTTTTAAAGGAAGAAAAATAGTGTTGATCACTGTGGATTTTCTAAACTTACTCATAGGTCGATATAGATTCACTGGAACTATATATTATTCTAGCAACCGAGTTATCATTGCAGCAACCCATTTTGACAGCTTTTTCTGTGTATTGTAGCATTTTAACATTTTTTGGATGTAAATATAAGGATAAGCATTGACCTTCATTTTAACGGCGCATACGGTAGTGTGCACGCAGTTGGCAACGAAAATATTCTTTACGGAGCGCTAAGGCACACCATAGAATATGTTTGTTGCCAGCTGCGTTCATGCTACTGTATATATGCTGTCAAAATGAAGGTCAATCCTGATGTATTACCAGAGCATGTGGTGTAATGGGCTCTTGTTGTTTGTTCACTAGTCATACTATCAGAGTTTGTGTGACGGAGTTACAGGCCTTTGTTGTTTATTCACTAGTCATACTATCAGAGTTTGTGTGACGGAGTTGCAGGCCTTTGTTGTTGGTTCACTAGTCATACTATCAGAGTTTGTGTGACGGAGTTGCAGGCCTTTGTTGTTTGTTCGCTAGTCATACTATCAGAGTTTGTGTGACGGAGTTGCAGGCCTTTGTTGTTGGTTCACTAGTCAATGAGCCTTGAGATTGGCTGCTGCTGCTTTATCCAGAAACCAGACAAGTTCCCCGTTGGTTGGTTGCACACGGGCAGCAGGAAGAGGGCTCTTCTCATTACCTTCCAATACTCTCTGTTGGGATGAAATATGCATTGTTATATAAAGTTAAGTTGAAAGGAATCTATATAGAATTGCGTACGCATTCTCAATTTCTATATTTAAAACATTCTGTTGAAATTAACTCTGGTTCCTTAAGACTATCACCTGTTTTAAGTGGCCTTTCTCTTCACAAATTTCTAACGCTATACTTCAGCAAGCTTCTCACTAAATATTATGACTATTTAGACCTTTATAGTTCTTCAGATGTCAAAAGTTTAAGTACTCAAAGCCAGCAAGCTACATGTTATATATCATTACTCTAGGTCTCTAGGTTCTACAGAAGAAGTCTTTTGTGAGGTCTTACAGATTTTACCTCTGTGACCTTGAAAATAGGTCAAAGTAATTTCTTTTCACATATTTTGTAGCACTTATAGCCATTTTTTTCGCAATCTCTGTAGAACTCAATGCCAGCAAATCTACTGGTTACTTATAACATGACGCTAAAGCTATTAGTCCATTTGAAAAAACTCTTGAGCATTTTAACATATTAGACCCTTATGACCTTAAATGTAGATTATCTCTAGGTTGTTTCATTCCAAAACTTTGTAACACTCTATATCAGTAAGGTTCTGGTCACATATCTTAACTGCAGTCCTTTTGGTTCTTCAGAAGAAGCCGTTTGAGTGTTTTAACAGATTTGACCCTTGCGACCTTGAATATAGGTCAAGGTGATTTTATTTTTCAATTATTGTAGCCCTATATGCTAGCAAGCCATTGGCAATATATCATGACTTTAGGCTCTTTGGTTTTTCAGAAGAAGTAGTCCGAGTGTTTAAACAAATTTGACCTTTGTGACCTTTGAAAATAGGTCAAAGTTATTTCTGTTCACAAATTTTGTAGCACTAATAGCCATTTTAGAGGACCAAAATGTCACTGTCTTTGAACACAAAATGATTATTTGCATCAATTTTGTTTATCAGTTTTGTTCTAGAACTGGATGTCAAAAAAAAAAAAACCATATTTCCGCTATATGGCAGAAGGATCCCTTTCCCACTACACCATACAGCCTAACAGTTAGCTATCCTTATTTTTGTTTTGGACATAAGTGTAGGACAGTTGGGTCAGGACACTTCCGTTGACCATGAAGTAGCTAAAACTGGTTAGAGCAGCAGAATAATTTGAAGTCCTTGCTTTGAACATCAGACTGGTGTAATTCCACTGATTATTCCACTCAGAACCATGTAGCTGGGTTTTTTTTCATGTCTATTATGTCTCCTAAAAATTAACAAGGTATGGTTTTGATGAAGCTACAGTCATAATGACAAAATTTGTTTCCAGTGCATAAGTTAAGTTTAAGGCAGTGTACTGTGGGGCAAGACCACATTCTACATTTTAAACAAAATTAACTCTCCCTTTGGTCCAGAGTTGATCCATGAGAAAAGTACGAAAAAAAATAGCAAAAGGTAGTAAGATATATATATGTATATCCTTTTTCTCAAACTGGCGTCTCATCTCTGCCCTATGGAAATCAACAACATATTACATTTAAACAACATCGAAGTTTTCTTTTTCAGGATGATCAATACTAAAATATGAAATCTCTTCATCTGTTCTGGAGGTCCAGAAAAAACATAAAATGACTGAAGAAATAACAGAAGTGGCCCTATGGCATAATTTATCAAATAGCACTTCAGATAAGGTTGACTAAAAGTTCTATGCATATTGCGTACAGTCATAAATACATCAATACAAATGTTTAACAGCATACAGTTAGAAATGTATAATTTTTAAATGAAATTCAGAGAAAACTGAAAACACGTGAACATCAAAGTGTTTTTTATTGGTAAATTAATCATTATGTTCAGAGCTTATCCTGTTAGAAAGATATGATTTCATTAGAATGTTATTGTACATCATAAACCTGCCTACAGAGGAAACCACTGACATCCTTCGTTAACAGCTTTTTCTATTTATAAACAATATCAATCAGGCAATTTTGTTACAATATTGCACTAATGTCTAGTAATGTGTAAAGCAAATTTTGTTCATACAAACCTGGACCATTTCAGCCTTGCTTGCTCCACAGGATGCGAATACCGCGCAGGCACAGTTGTTGATGATGGGGTACGTCATGGTGACACGACTAGGTGGCGGTTTAGGAGAGTCGCTTATTGGAACAACAATTTTTGATGATTCCTGAAAGAGTAAAGCAAACAAAACTCCATTAATTTATTCCATTTTTTGGGTTTGATTAATTTACAGTGTGAAAGTAATACACGAAGATATCTGTATCAGGAGATGTCCAGACAACATTTGACCTCTACAAAATACCTGTATTAGAGAATGTCCAGAGAACATTTGACCTCTACAACATACCTATATTAGAGAATGTCCAGACAACATTTGACCTCTACAACATACCTATATTAGAGAATGTCCAGACAACATTTGACAACTACAACATACCTGTATTAGAGAATGTCCAGAGAACATTTGACAACTACAACATACCTGTATTAGAGAATGTCCAGACAACATTTGACCTCTACAACATACCTATATTAGAGAATGTCCAGACAACATTTGACNAAAATACCTGTATTAGAGAATGTCCAGAGAACATTTGACCTCTACAAAATACCTGTATTAGAGAATGTCCAGAGAACATTTGACCTCTACAAAATACCTGTATTAGAGAATGTCCAGAGAACATTTGACCTCTACAAAATACCTGTATTAGAGAATGTCCAGAGAACATTTGACCTCTACAAAATACCTGTATTAAAGAATGTCCAGAGAACATTTGCCCTCTACATGATACCTGTATTAGAGAATGTCCAGAGAACATTTGACCTCTACAAAATACCTGTATTAGAGAATGTCCAGAGAACATTTGACAACTACAACATACCTGCAGTAGAGGGTGGCCAGGAAACAAAGAACATGTGTGACCATCAGGACCCATTCCTAGCAAAAGCATGTCAAACCTTGGAATACTGTCCCCTGGGAACACAGTCCGGATCTTTTTCAAATAGTCGTTAGCTGCTTCTTCAACTAAACATGTTTATAAATAAAGGTCACTGATATAATCATTGTACACATACCATACATGAAGCTATACAAGGCCCTGCAAACCCTGGCATTCCCCATGTGCTGTACTGTTCAAAACAAATTATCTGAAGAAACAGACATACACATTTTATAAATGCTTTCCACTACTCTACTGATATTTGATCTAGATCTTCAGGACTAGACAATAAGGGAAGATTGATAGTATGACACTGGGAAATCTCAAGCTCAACTAGTGATTCTAAAAACTGCTAGCCCAATTGACTATTTAAACTTTGATATTGCTTATCTTGTTCAATTATATTGGGTTAGTGGAATTTGCACATAGACTAATACAAATTGTAAACGACTACCACAACTGACTAGTGGTATTCAAAATTAAATTCTTGCCCTAATCAAAGAATTGGTTAGTTTGTTATTGGCCACAAATCAAGCTGTTAATCAATAAGCTCTTGTTTGACAATTAATTAATAAATGTATTTGTAGAAGAGGCCAAGTTATGAAATAGGATAAAAGTAAAAATATCTCTAGCTGTGTCATTTGCACACTTTGAACTTCTAATTATATTTCAGCACCAAAACCTTGCATACCTAGTATCAAAATATTTTGTTTATCCAGTAATAATAACAAGAGGCCAAGAGTGCCTGTATTGCTTCATGCCAGGTATATCTACTGGTCAAGTATTATTACTCTTGGCCTCCTGGTTATTCAGAAGAAGTTGTTTAAAGGTTTTTACAATTTTGAACCATGTGACCTTGAAAGTAGGTCAAGGTCACTTATTTGAGGAAATTTATAGCATTCTGTCCCAGGGACCTACAGGCCAAATATCATGGCCCTACCGATTCTCCAGTTCTTATGAAGAAGTCACACTATACCTTAAGATCAACTGGCACTTCGTACCAGGAGAGCTATAAATTCAAAGAACAAGAGGCCCAATGGGCCTGCATCGCTCACCTGGTATTAATCTCACAATTGTAACCTTAAAAGAGGACTAAAATAAAGCTACAGGCAAAATATCAGCGTCTTGACTTAAAGTTTAAAGTAATTCAGAAAAAATTGGCAAAGGTCATTCATTTGAACAAACTTGGTAGCCCTTCATCCCAGCATGTTACTGGCCAAATATCATCACCCTAGGCCTCTCAGTTATTCAGAAGAGGTCGTTTAAAGGTTTTAAACATATTTGACCCCTGTGACCTTGAATATAAATCAAGGTCATTTATTTGAACACACTTGGTAGCCCTTCATCCTAGCATGTTACTGGCCAAATATCATCCTAGGCCTTATTCAGAAGAAGTTGTTTACATGTAAAGGTTTTAAACATATTTGACCCCTGTGACCTTGAATATAAATCAAGGTCATTTATTTGAACAAACTTGGTAGCCCTTCATCCCAGCATGCTTCTGGCCAAATATCATTACCCTAGCCTTTTGGTTACTGAGAAGAAGTTGTTTAAAGTAAAAAGTTGACGCCAGACGGACGACGGACGGACGACGGACGCCGCACCATGCCATAAGCTCACTTGGCCCTTCGGGCCAGGTGAGCTAAAAATGAATTTTCACATTAATTACCTGTTAAATCTGGATTAATAGGAAAGATGTTACTTTCAGCCATGTTGACTTTCCTGACTAATCCTGACAGGTAGATCTGATAGGTACATTCCGGATTGTCATAGGGCACATGCCTCTCATCACAAAAAAATATCCTCCATTTGGACCAATCTGTTGTATTTTTTGGCAAACCTTTGCATAAAAATTTGGCCAAACTTCCACCTGTACCAAGAAAATGAGGAACAATAAAAATATTGGCACATAAATAAAACAAATGACACTTAATCAAAATTGAGATACAATTTGTAATATTTCACTTTTAGGATGATTAATTTCAGTGTAACCAAAGATCCTTCCTGCTAGAATTATTCATTTCTTATGAAGTATTAAAGTAAGCACTCTTGTTGTAAGTGAAGATCGAGGAAAGTGGGTGATGTAAAAGAGTCTGTAGTGTACGTGTCCTTTAGATTTGATAATTTCTCGAATTTAGGATGGTATATATATATATCCATGATATGGTCAGTACATATCATGTTATTAAAGATACATTATAATATACATGTATGCATGTGAAACTGAAGGACTTATAGCTAGGTTTTTGTTACCAGCCCTGATAATTACATGAGCTCTTTAATTGAATATTCAGCCTCATGAAAACAAAAACAGGTCTGCCAGAAAGGGGCACAGTTTGTTTCCATAGGAATGCCTAAACTGTAGTCTACTAGAAAATCTTGCCAAAATTTTTTTCAAAGTGTGTTTACTGCCACCGTTTTGTTGGTGACTGTGACCTTGCCATTCATTTACTGTGTTTATGGTGCAAGCTATTTTGTGTTTCAGAATTACACTTTCGTGGTCAATGTTGCTATTACTAAAACTAGAACCTTGGCTTTGAGGTAGGAGTCTTGAACAAATAATTGAAAAGTTCTTGCATTTTCGACAGAATGTCCTTAATTGGCAATGAAAAAGGGGCATAACTCTGGTGAATGGGGTTTAAATGTCACGATTTAAGAACTCATTCAAAGCATTCAGGTAATGAAACAACCAAGTAGTTTAATCAAAATCGGAGAACAATTGTTTGAGTTATCGTGTAAACAAGCAAAATTAAGTACAGTCAAATATTGCCATCTCAATTAAGTGTGATGTATGTGCCTAAACGCAAAAAGTTGAAAATCGACAGAAAAACCTGATATGTATGTTGAACATTTTTGCTTCTAGCATTACCATTCCAAATTCGAAAGGAATTGATTAAAAAATAAATAAGAGGCCCAGAGGGGCTGTATCGCTCACCTGGATATCTAAGCAATCATGGCAAAATATTCTCCAAATGAGATCCAAGGGAATATGCCAGACCCCAAGGCCAATCCTTGCAGCATATCTGTATTAGATTTATCATGCCCAGCAATTTTGTGTATGATTATGGGATGGGGATCTCAACTGTTTCCAAGCTGTGACTTCGAAACTAGGTCCCTAGGGTTGTGGCCAGACCCCAGGATCAGTTCTAATATCATGACTGCATTTGTCTCTTTTTGACCAGCATTTGTATTAATAGTTTTGGGGTGGGGATTTCAGTCGCTTCAAAGTTATAACCTAGGGGTTAAGTCAGCAAGGGTGGGGCAGACCCTGGGGTCAATTCTAATATCATGACTGCATTCGTTTCTTTATGCCCAACAATTGTATATATAGTTTTGGGGTGGGGATCTTAAACATTTCGAAGTTATGACCCAGGGGTTAAGTATCCAAGGGTGGGGCAGACCACAAGACCATCCTGGAAGCATATGTGCATTCATCTCTTTATGCATTCATATCTTTATGCCCAGCATTTGTATATATAGTTCTGGGGTGGGGACCTCAACCGTTTCAAAGTTATGACCAAGGGACTATGTCTCCAAGACCCTAGAGCCAGCCTGGATGCAAATTATGTACATTCTTCTCTTTATACTCAGAAATTGTATATATGGTTATATGGTGGGGATCTTAACCATTTCCAAGTAATAAACTTTTTTTGGCCCCATCCCTTAGCACAGGGGGTCAGCCACACCATTTGTACAATTTTGAATCCCTGCCTCACATGAATGCTTCCAACCAAATATGATTGATTTCCATGGCATATTTCTACAGAAAAAGTCGTTTATAGCAATATAGACAAATTGCCTCCTTTTGGCCCCACCCTCAGCCCCACCATTTGTACAATGTTGATTCCCCTCCACCTAGGGATGCTTCCAGTCAAATATGGTTGATATCCATCTCTTAGTTCCAGAGAAGAAGTCGCTTAAAGCAGTATCGCCAAATACCCCTTTTTGGCCCCGCCTCTGAGCCCCCTGGGGGGTCAGCCACACCATTTGTACAATTCTGAATCCCTGCCTCCCATGAATACTTTTGATCAAATATGATCGATATCCAGTGCATAGTTCTACAGAAGAAGTCGTTTGTAGTAATTTATTTAATATAGCCAATTTGACCCCTTTTGACCTCGACACTCAGCCCCCCGGAGGGTCAGCCCCATCATTTGTACAATTTTGAGTCCCCACCACCTAGGGATGCTTCCAGTCAAACTTATTTAAATTCCAATCAGTGGTTAAGAGGTAGAAGTCGTTTAAAGAAATTGTTGTCGTACGGACAACAGACGACACGGTATGGCATAAGCTCACCTTGGTCCTACGGACCTGGTGAGCTAATAAGTGAAGGTCATTTATTTAAACAAACGTGGTAGCCCTTCATCCCAGAATGTTACTGGACAGATATCATAACCCTAGGCCTCTTGGTTATTCAGAAGTTATTAAAAGTTTTTTTAACATATTTGACCCCTGTGACCTTCAACTTGAATATAAGTCAAGGTCGTTCATTTGAACAAACTTGGTAGCCCTTCATCCCAGTTTGCTTCTGGCCAAATATCATCACCCTAGGCATTTTGGTTATTGAGAAGAAGTTGATTAAAGTAAAATATTGACGCTGACGGATGTCGCACCACGGCATAAGCTCACTCTTTGGGCAGGTGAGCTAAAAAGTTATTGCACAATGCCCTTATTTGGCAATGGAAGGAGCATAGCCTGCAATAAAAAAGGGACAAAACTCTCAAGAACTCATTCAATGCATTCAGGTAATGAAACATCCTACCAAATTTGACAAAAATTTGAGAACAATTGTTTGAGTTATCGCTTAAACAAGCAAAAGTTAATTACAGCAAAAACGATGAACAGCAAAACAAAGAAAGTTGAAACTCAACAGAAACCCATAATATATTTTGAACATTTTTGCTTCTAGCATAACCGTAAAATATTTGAAAGGAGTTGATTGAAAAATCAAAAAGTTCTTGCATTTACTACACAATGCCCTTTTTTGGCAATAAAAGGGGCATAACTCCACCAAACACCTACACTTCTGAAATGCAAACTAATTCGAGCTAAAAATATGTGTACCAAGTTTCATTAAGATATGTTTATGAATGAAGGCTGGAGAGTGTCATGACAAGGGAAAAGTTAACGGATGGCTGACGGGCGAACGGACGAACAAAATACCATAATACGACAGATGACATGCGTATCATTATGACAAATAAACAAAACAGTGACTTTTGAGTTTGAATGACGTTTTCTGTTTCTATTTGAATTAATCAACTGTAGACAAAATGGTGCATGGCTATCTATTCCAAGGCTATATCATTGTTAAAACTGATTTGTTGACACACTTATTGATTTAAAAGTATTTTTGTAAAAAGTTGTCCCATTTGGGTATCGGTCTGATTTTGGTTCTACCATGGAATTAGATTATCGGTCTGATTTGGGTTCTACCATGGAATTAGATTATCGGTCTGATTTGGGTTCTACCATGGAATTAGATTATCTAAGTCTGTGGTTCTACCTCCTTACTCTCTACACCTGAGAATTTGTTACAGCTATAATTTGACCTAAGCTAGGTGTTCACAGTATTTCTACCCCAAATCAATAAAAAAAAACTTGAAAGTGTAAAATAACTCTGAACACCTTAGTTTGGGTCTTAATATAACATAACTGTAATGTAAAAGATGTGCATTTATTAGGTGCATTCCAAGCGTCAGCTGTAGGGAATTTCCCTTTCGCTTAGCGGTACGAACATTGGGCTGGAGTCAATTTAATGGTCGCGGGTTCGAGCCCCCGCGACGGCACTATCTGCATCACTAATCCTCATCCTACTACAGTAGCCTAACAAATTCTCAGGTCCCTGTGATCTATCTATATGTTATACTCCAGTGGCGGATCCAGAGACCTATCTGGGGGGGTTTCCAAATTTCCTGGGTGGGTTTCCATGTGGGGGAAAATTGAGGAAAATGGTGAAAATACATGATTTTTAAAGAAAATTATCAGCGTGGGGGGTCCTGAAGCCCAAAAAAACCCTCTGGATCCGCCACTGTACTCCACAGAGACCAAAATGGCTTTATGCGGAGGGATTACTCGTGTTGTTGTTTCAGTAAATAACAACAGGCTGACGATGTCGAATTGACATAGACGTGTCATACCAGAAACCCCTACAGTGAATTGTCCATTTTCTTTGATGGCTTTGTTGGCCTTGTCAACCACAAAATCACAAAGTGTGCTTGCCACCTCCGTGTCCGTCTCGCCAATGACGATTCGCGCCGCCATTTTGAATGTGAATAGAAGGGAAAATAAACATATTACACTCTCTCTACATACACTTATTAAAATAATGATATGTCTTTATTCCTTTTTTGAAAATATGATATTCTGATAGGTTCCAAAAGAAAAAGAAATAAAAATAACATATTTTTCATGTTTTCATTTACTTTTAGTTGAAGAGTATTCGATCATTTCCGCTTAATCCACCACCATGGCGGATGTATTGAGTTTAGTTCGGCAATACAATATCAACAAGAAGGAGATCATCGAGAAGGATGATCAGGTGATTTTTGGTGAACTTGCGTGGCCATCCAATGTGAAGACTAACTATGTCGTATGGGGGTAAGTATGATTGTTGTAATGTAATAATATGCGCATTTCAACTCGATTGCCCCCCGCTGCAGTAGAGCCTTACTGTACTTTACTGCTTTTTCGCTGATTTCAGGCTTTTCAGAAATTTCACGTAATGCAAGCTTTCAATTTTCCCCATAGAAAGGAATGAAAATTCTAATGTTTTAGCATTTTTTCCATCCAAAAGTCCATTTTCATCCCTGCCTTGGTTCTGATTCTGGTCAGTAATCACCAATGCCCTATTGCAATTGGATTTTACACTGATTGCACACAGTGCGGCATGTAACGTTAGTCTACTTAATTATAAAATAATGACAGTATCAAATTTTATTGTATTTACAAAATGATTAGACAGCAGGCAGTGCCTATATTAGTCTTCTCCTGAAACGGTACAACATATATATACATTTACAAAGAATAATAAGATATATTTACAAAATTATCGATAATTAATTACGTATTGAAATAGATGGACATTTATATGGAAAATATGTATATATGTTTGAATTAATGATATGGCTGAATGTTTCATTCAATAAAACTAGTTTCACCAGTGTCCGTCTACTTCTGATTGCTTGACAACCAACTCGTCTTGAATTCATCAGATCAAGTCGTTCCAGCCTCTCCCAGTACGGCCCCCTAGTAGTTCCGGCCCCTACATACACCCGGTCCGACTTTAGAAGTTCCGGCCCCAAATTCGTTCTGAACCCTTAGTCATTCCGGCCTCACTGTAGTGTTTTCCTTCACATATTACCATTGAATTATGTTTTATTTAGATAAACAAAAGACAGTGATCGTAATGTGTCCTAAATAGCAATCTTACTCCGTGTGCTGATATGTTTACACAGGTGTATTTTGCCGTTTATTTTAGACAACATACATGTAAAATAAAAAGACAAATGTATGTACAATGTGATATATGTTTTAATTTTGAATTTTATTCCTTTGCATTAGTAAAATAAAATATACATTATATAAATAAAATCAATGGGAATTAAATTTAAAACATGAATCATATAAATGATATTATTATGGGGCCGGAACGACTAAGAATATGGGTCCAGACCAGGTATGGGCCCGAACGACTATGGATGGAACAACTTGGGGGCTGGAACGACCTGTATTCGAATTCATCCAAGGTAGAAGCTCTGGTCATATCTGGAGAGAGGATGTAGACACCCTATTGAATAGACACACTATTGTTTGTTACTAATAAGTGATGTTATAATGTTGACAGGGAAAAAAGCAGAACAATGAAATTCAAACAAATGAATGAAAATTAAGTTTTTAGATGAAAATCTTTCATTTCACCAACTCACCTGTTTGGTCAACCCTTCAATCGAGGTGCACATGATAATAACAACCAGTACTGGTGTGTTTGTTTACATTCGCCCTATATATACGTATGTCTTTTTTGACCATATATAGCCAAATCTAGCTATATTTAGTCAGATCTTCCGGTGCTCCAGCAGTATGCCTGACAAGTTTGTTCTTGTACTGGACTGGGTCGATTGTCGGCGACCAAGTAGCTCAATTCGTTACAGCATCCGTCTAGAGTTTGGAGGGTCCTGGGTTTGAACCTTGGTCTGGCCGTTGCATTTCTCTTTCTCCTGTTACAAATTTGGCACCCAACGAAATACCCACATGAGGCGGTATAGGGTCTGGTGTGTCTTCGGGGTCAAAGACTTTTTTAAAGTGGGGAGGAATGTAGCCAAACTGGACTGGGTCGATCGTCATTGACCAGTTAGCTTTCATCAATAGGTTAGAGCGTCCATCTAGAATTTTCTTTTTGGGGGGGGGGGGGGGGGGGGGGCGGTATCCTGGGTTCGAACCCCTGTCTGGCCGTTACATTTCTCTTTCTCCTGTTACACTCTGGCCCTGACACTACACTACACATTTTGACAAATATATGTCTGGTGTTGGGCGAGAGTGCATTACTTTGTATATATGAAAAACGTGAAATTTCTTTGAAACCGTTGAGAGTTTTTAGGACAGAACAAAATCTGCACATATGTTGATAAATGGGGTATTCATTTTTATTGATCCAAACCTGCTCTTACTGTATAACCAGCAACAGCTGCTATATATTCTGTCAGTAGAGTTATCAGTATTCAATAGTTCAAAATTTCCCACCTGAGCAAATAATTGATACTACTAGCAGTGCCTTCATGTGGATTTTGACTTTTAGTAATGATTTTTTTGTATTTATAAATTCTTGATGCACATTTAATCTATTGAAAAATACTTTAATCTAATGTTAAATATGTAAATCTTTTATGCCAAACTAATATACATTTACATTGATGTAATTTAAGTCTTGTCAATTTTTTATCAGTACTGGAAAAGATGGAATCGTCAAAGAGTACTACACACTAGACTGCATACTCTTCCTGCTGAGGAATGTTCACCTACAGCATCCACTGTATGTCAGAGAGGCTGCAGTAAGTACGCAACATATCAATTTTTAAAATTTCTGACATTGTTACAGGATAAGCCAGATTCTTAATTTCTGTTATGAATAGATGTATTCCAACAACTTTCAGTTTCACAATACATACATTAAAGTTTGCAGTTTACAATCTGATAAAACAGTCAGTTTCAAAATGAAAATTGAAATTCAATAGAATTTACGAAATTGATCAAGTTGGCAGGAACTAGGCATTTTTGTTTTGTTTTTGGACTCATAACGGTAATCAGGATTCTGAGTATGCCATTAGAACTTAATACATATTTATTGTTTACTGCCCGAAAATAGCCTCAAGTCTGTATGATGCATGCGTTTAATTCTATGTTAGTTATATATATTTATAAGTTGCTAACATAAATTTGTATTTCTAGGCTGCAGAGGTACCAGTGGTACGTCGACCAGACAGAAAAGATTTGCTCAGCTATCTCAATGGCGAAACTACATCCTCAGCAAGCATTGACAAGAGTGCCCCCTTGGAGATCCCCCTTCAGAGGCCCCCACAGGGTAAGTTCATATTAAGTGAATCTGTATATAATTACCTTTCCTTGCATTGGTACTGGCAGCCATGCAAAATGCCATCAGATATGTTAGTTAAATTCCATGACACCGAGACCCAATCCACAAAAAATACACAATGTCATGTTTTCTATGTAATACACTGATAACCAATCCACAACACATACACAATGTCATGTTTTCTATTTAATACACTGATAATCAATCCACAACACATATACAATGTCATGTTTTCTATGTAATACACGGATAACCAATCCACAACACATACACAATGTCATGTTTTCTATTTAATACACTGATAATCAATCCACAACACATACACAATGTCATGTTTTCTATGTAATACAAGGATAACCAATCCACAACACATATACAATGTCATGTTTTCTATTTAATACACGGATAATCAATCCACAACACATATACAATGTCATGTTTTCTATGTAATACAAGGATAACCAATCCACAACACATACACAATGTCATGTTTTCTACATTTTACACAGAGACCCAATCCACAACATGTACGCAATGTCATGTTTTCTATTTAATACACTGAGACACAATCCACAACACGTACACAATCCACAACACGTACACAATCCACAACACGTACACAATGTTATGTTTTCTACATTTTACACTGAGACACAATCCACAACATGTACCCAATCCACAACACGTACACAATGTCATGTTTTCTACATTTTACACTGAGACCCAATCCACAACATGTACTCAATGTCATGTTTTCTACATTATACACTGAGACCCAATCCACAACACGTACACAATCCACAACACGTACACAATGTCATGTTTTCTACATTTTACACGGAGACCCAATCCACAACATGTACGCAATGTCATGTTTTCTTTGTAATATACTGATAGCCAAGCCAAAATATAGATGTCATTTCTAAGCTATACATTGATAGCCAAGCCAAAAATGTACAAGGTGTAATTTCTAAGCTATACATTGATAGCCAAGCCAAAAATGTACATAATGTAATTTCTACGTTATACACTGATAGCCAAGCCAAAAATGTACATAATGTAATTTCTATGTTTACATTATGTCCTCTCAATTTTTCTTGCAGACTTCTTTCTTAAATAAATGTCTCAATCATGAGATGATTTTGAATGTTGTAGTAAAGAGAGGTGGGGAAGACAGCGGAGAGGCAGACAAGAAAAAGAAACCACGTCTGGAGGTTTGTATTCTACCAAGTTGTTTTTCTGTAGGAAGACAAAGCATTTTAATACCAGTTTAACATTATTGGGATGGTCATTGTAACAAACCTGAATCTTTATGCTCAGTCACTGAGAATAACTAGACAATTGATCTAATGTTATACCATGTAAGCCAAAAAGTTGTCTAATATTTATGTCCTGTTTTTTAGGATGAACAAGTTCAACATGCTAAAATGAACTGGATCCACAAAATTGATGCAACAAGGGAAACCTCAGCGTTACAACAGATATCGTAAGTTCTTTAAACCTAACATTTGCTTAAATAAAACAAATGAAAATGTGTGCAGAAAAAATACCTTTGTTTGTTTGTGGGACAGCATGTGGCTAAGGATCACTGTACAACTGCTAAGGACTGAACTACAGATCAGGAACTATTTTTACCAGCATGACTATAGCTTTGATAAATCATTTCTGAAAAGAAAACCATATCTTGCTGGCCTTTTTTGAAAGAAAAAACATTAACGATGAAATAAACAAATAACATTCAGCAACAGTACTAATGTTCTAATGTTCAGCAGGACTAGACTGGGATTTGAATCCTGGACCTGAGATTATCATTCTATCTCCCTAACTGACTACCTAGATCCTAATCCTGGACCTGAGATTATCATTCTATCTCCCTAACTGACTACCTAGATCCTAATCCTGGACCTGAGATTATCATTCTATCTCCCTAACTGACTACCTAGATCCTAATCCTGGACCTGAGATTATCATTCTATCTCCCTAACTGACTACCTAGATCCTAATCCTGGACCTGAGATTATCATTCTATCTCCCTAACTGACTACCTAGATCCTAATCCTGGACCTGAGATTATCATTCTATCTCCCTAACTGACTACCTAGATCCTAATCCTGGACCTGAGATTATCATTCTATCTCCCTAACTGACTACCTAGATCCTAATCCTGGACCTGAGATTATCATTCTATCTCCCTAACTGACTACCTAGATCCTAATCCTGGACCTGAGATTATCATTCTATCTCCCTAACTGACTACCTAGATCCTAATCCTGGACCTGAGATTATTATTCTATCTCCCTAACTGACTACCTAGATCCTAATCCTGGACCTGAGATTATTATTCTATCTCCCTAACTGACTACCTAGATCCTAATCCTGGACCTGAGATTATTATTCTATCTCCCTAACTGACTACCTAGATCCTAATCCTGGACCTGAGATTATTATTCTATCTCCCTAACTGACTACCTAGATCCTAATCCTGGACCTGAGATTATTATTCTATCTCCCTAACTGACTACCTAGATCCTAATCCTGGACCTGAGATTATTATTCTATCTCCCTAACTGACTACCTAGATCCTAATCCTGGACCTGAGATTATTATTCTATCTCCCTAACTGACTACCTAGATCCTAATCCTGGACCTGAGATTATTATTCTATCTCCCTAACTGACTACCTAGATCCTAATCCTGGACCTGAGATTATTATTCTATCTCCCTAACTGACTACCTAGATCCTAATCCTGGACCTGAGATTATTATTCTATCTCCCTAACTGACTACCTAGATCCTAATCCTGGACCTCAGATTATTATTCTATCTCCCTACCTGACTACCTAGCTAGTCAATGGAAATGTTTTGGCCCAGCTGTGCTACACTTATATCCAAAACGAAAATATGGGAAAGCTACTGTATACAATCGAACCTCGTTATCTCGAACTCTTTTAACTCGAAGACCCCGTTTATCTCAAAGTATTTCCCCGATCCCGGCCAAGTCTCTTCCAAGTAAGATATTGGTTTCAATAGCCTAAATCCAACATTAAAACATTGTCTACTTCATAGTGTTTGAATTTCGTTTTGACACTTATTTATTTTTTGATACAAATAAAATGCAACAGTACGACATCTCGCCATTCCATGTTTATGAACATCTTTCGCGAATAGAATAAATCGGTATAGCTTTAAAAGTCTATCGAGAGATTAAAGAACAATACGATAATTGCTGTTGATTACATCAAGTTGAGAAGGTGTTAGGTGTCATATTTAGCTTTAATGAATTAATGTGTTACATGTACGAATATTATGTTTGGGTGTGATTTCATTTACAGAATCAGCTATGCATACGCTCCATTACAGTGATCTGTTTTAGACTTGCACACTTTCATTTCCGCATTATATAGTACGAGGACGAAGTCTCAAGTGACCTATTGCGATCGCCTTTTGTCCATCGTCGTCCGTCGTGCGACCATAAACAATTTACATTTTCAACTTCTTCTCCGAAACCCCTGAACCAATTTCAATCAAATTTTTCAGAAACCTTGAAGGCCAAAGGTCAACAAAAAGAGTTGCCGGTTTTTTCCCGGGCCCACAGGGGCCTGAGGGGCGGGGCCAAAAATGGTCAAATTGACTAAAATTTCAAAAATCTTCTTCTCAAGACCCTGATATGGTAGAACCTAATACTCTTCATAGATGGAAGGATCTTAAGGTGCTCTACCAAAATTGTGAATTTCTTGACCCTGGGGTATCACGTTTCCCCCTGGGGAGGGGGTAAACTTTACTATAGTTTATATAGGGAAATCACATTTTGGATCAACATTTGTTTAATTTCCATTGGAAGTAATTAAATTTAGGTTAGCATTATCAGTATTGGATAGCAGTTTGATGGTATGCACATATGAGCCCTGACTGACCCCCCGGGGCTGATGGGTGGGGCCAAAAAGGGTCAAATTGACTGAAATTTCAAAAATCTTCTTCTCAAGATCCAGATATGGTAGAATCAAACACTCTTCATAGATGGAAGGGTCTTAAGGTTTATGACCCTAGGGTCTCACGTTTACCCCCTGGGGAAGGAGGGGGGGGGGGGCAAAATTTATTATGGTTTATAATGGCAAACGATACTTTGAATATTACATGTTCATAACTTGATTGGAATTATAACCCTGAGTTGACAGTTTGATGCTTTGAAAATTTTGAGCCAGCCCTACCCCAAAGGGCTGTAGGGTGGGGTCCAAAGGAGCCAATGTGCTAAAATTTCTTCATTTTCCTTGTTTAGAATCAAAGGTGCTAGTTTCAAACACTTTTTAGTCTTAAATCTGTATGCTAGATATTGAATAAGGTGGTTTTATTGTTTTTTGTCACTGAATAATATTTCTGTTCCTGTTAAAAACAAAATCAACTCTGTATAAATATATCAGGTGACCGTTAAGGCCCATGGGCCTCTTATTAAATGTAACACTTCAGAAGTAAAACTTGACGGACTTGCATATACAAATGCAGACATGGAAAGACTTTGCCAAGTACTAGACTAGCCAAAAACAACATTTACTCAATAGGCCTGTCCATATTTAATAACGAATTCACAATATGGTCCAACCGTTTTGATCGCTTTAAACGAAAGAACATTTTTCGGAAATAACTTGCTCTACAGTGTTTTTGTAAACGTGTTTATTGTAAAATTACATACCTGTATTTGTTATATTGATTACGTACATCATTCATCGATTGGTTATAAGCATCGGTTATTAATAAAACCAACAACTGTTAGTGCTATGTCCAACAGCATTTCATATCAAATTTATGAACTCAAATACGGGGATAACTCGAAGTTTTCCCACGACCCCGTTGACTTCGAGATAATGAGGTTCGACTGTATATATACAAAAAACACAGTGCAGTGGGACAGGGATCTGTCATAGTAACAGTGGCTTCAACAAGATAATGAAATATGAAATATTAATTTGTTGCAAAATTTCTCCCTTATTTAGACCTCTTGCATGTTATTATCCAGGCCAACAATAATGATTAATAGAAATCAAAACATATTGTGGCATAATCTCTGTAGCAAAGTTCACCTATTAAAATATTAAAAAAAGAAAAAGTGTTATTAAACAAATTTAATTTCCCAGTCATCCAATTCATTATGATGATATGAATGTTATTTGTTGCTCAGACGTTCGTCACTGCCTGAAGCCATGCCCCTGGAGAAGATTGCAGCCATCAAGGCCAAGCGTCTTGCCAAGAAAAGGACCATGATCAAGGTGGACGATGAGGTGGCTCCAGGTGCACTGGAACAGAGGAGCTTTGTGGAGGCTGAGGTTGACGTGACAAGGGACATCGTCAGCAGGGAGCGTCTCTGGCGGACACGAACCAGTATCTTGCAGAGTAATGGAAAGGTACTTAAAACAACTAGTGTGAAACTACCCAATTTGTTAAAGCTACCAGTTTGGTATACTGTTAAGTACAATTTCTCACAGAATAATTTCATATAAATTTTGTGCAATTTAGTAACTGAAAAATTTACTCCCTTTTATCTCAACCCAAAAGGGATAACATTTTCTATTATTCTAAGTCACTGGGTTAGTCCTTTTACTCTCACATTTTCCTATTGGAAATAAAATCAATCTAAGTTATACTGGTGAAGCCATTGCATCATGCCTCTATTAACAGTGCCTGAAATGTGTGACAAACTGACTACTGAATCTTACTGTGATATAGTTATTCTTAATTAACTGATGATGTGATTATGACCCTATTGTGAAGTGGTGACATTTTAAAACGTATTTCCTAAGTTAGGTAAAGATAGATTTATCTTTTTCCTAGCAAAAATATCTAGAAATCATCTGTTGAATGTGAGAAAGAGAAAAAAAAGCCTTTAAGTTTTGCAAAACTGTTTTACTATTCTTTCAGACTTTTGCTGCCAATGTGTTTGGAATTCTTCAGTCTATTAAGGCCCGCGAGGAAGGGAAGGAGAAACACCACACTGAACCCCACACACCCTCAGTGGTAGGTAACATTTAAACAATCTCAACAGAAAAAAGTATTGTGTAAAAAAGTGCATTTCAGATACACAGTAAGCATTTGCATGACAGTTTTGCTTCAACAGATGAATGTAAATGTTTATAGATAACTTTTCATAGATAGTTTTCCTAAATGTTAATATAATAGAAATATACGAGTGAATAACATATTTGTGGTTTTAAGTAATGTTACTTATTAGTAATGTTACATGTTATATTGATCTATACTATTTAAAGCAAAAACGACACTGTCATGGAATAAAACCCGGTATTCAGTTGCTAGATTTATCTGCCAGTTATCACCGGAGTCTTCTTTTTATGCCCCCGCCATAAAATAGTGTTGTCCATGTCCGTCCCGTCCCGTCGCGTCCTGATTCAATGTAAACACCCGTCCCTATTCAATGTAAACACCTAGCAACTTCATTCTTTGACAGATTTTGGTCAAACTTTATACAAAGGTACTACCCTCTATAATAGGGGGAGGGGGGGCATATAGTGTTGCCCATGTCTGTCCCGTCCTGTCCTGATTCAATGTAAACACTTAGCAGCTTCATTCTTGGACAGATTTTGGTCAAACTTTATACAAAGGTCAAATATGAGTATACTTCGGACATCATTGTGTTTCAGGGATCCAAGGCCAAGGTCACACTGGCTATATATAGAAAATCATCAACTGATTCAATTTAAACACTTAGCGACTTCATTCTTTCATGGTTTTTGGTCAAACTTTATGCAAAGTTCAAGAATGAGTATACTTCGGATATGTTGTGTTTCGTGGTTCAAAGGTCAAGGCCAAGGTCACACTGGCTATATATAGAAAATCATCAACTGATTCAATTTAAACACTTAGCAACTTCATTCTTTCATGGTTTTTGGTCAAACTTTATGCAAAGTTCAAGTATGAGTATACTTCGGATATGTTGTGTTTCATGGTTCCAAGGTCAAGGCCAAGGTCACTGTTGCTATATATAGAAAATCATCAACTGATTCAGTTTAAACTTCATTTTTTCATGGATTTTGGTCAAACTTTATATAAAGGTCAAATAGGGGTATACCTCTGACATCCTTGTGTTTCAGGATGGTAATAACATACAGAAAAAACATATGAATATTAAAATCAACTTGTCAACTTTAAGTGTAGTACCTTGTGTGTGTGCATGTTTCAGGGTATCAAGATCAAAGTGGTTGTAACTTTTTATAGAACACTGAAACTATTTTCACATGGCAGCTGAAATATTTTCTAGTTCTTTTCTATTGTAGCCCCAACAGCGCGTCCCACCTGTTGCTGCCTATAGCAGATACGACCAGGAAAGATTTAAAGGCAAAGAAGGTCAGTGTGTAGTGTCCAGGAATGGACTGATGCTCGTAATGTACGCAGGAGTCATTGGTCATCATTTTATGGTATATTTAGGTCGTCCAAACCTTTTTGTCATTAATGTCAATTGTGCATATATATTTTACATTTTCAATTGAAATTGAAGTAATACTGAAATAACGTCATTTATAATTGATGAGAATGTTACCCACTTTATCCTGATGTGTTAATTTTATTACCCGAATGCCACTCAAATCCCCTAGGGGCTGGTAGTACAGTTTTCATCGAAATAATGAAAATCTTTAAAACAAGTTTTAGATATGGTAATGTTTAGGCCTACGCCATGGGTAATTAACTATAGAATAATTGTGAACTTCATCTCATTGGACTCACCATTTGGCCCTTGGTTGGGAATGCTTCAGTTAATAAATGCATATTAATATGACGCTACTCTAATTTTTTGCAAGTATTATAAAATCGATTTGAATTGTTTTCAGTGGTTTTGTTTCTGACATTATTTTCACTTCATGTCTTATAACCATGGATAGCTATAATACATCTCTGGTGATTTTAAGGCAATTGGCTTATAGTCTTGTTTTTAGAAATACCTATATAAACATATGATGATTGAAAAGTTGATTAAATTAAGTGATTTTAATTTCTTTATACTAGGAAGATCTATTTTCCTGTATTTTCCATACCAGGAGTGAGTCTTTATTTTGTGATTAAAGTATGTTTATATTGATCTGATTGTCTGTATTTCTTGTACATATACAGAAACTGAGGGATTTAAGATTGATACCATGGGAACTTATCACGGAAAAACGCTCAAGTTTGTGACAGAAGGAGGCGGAGCCAATCAGAAAAAAATAGAAGAACGAGAACCACGACGCCATGCAGCACCTCAACAAAACCATGTATCCCATCACCCAGTACAACCCTCCACCCCTGTCACCCCGGGATCTCGTCCAATCTCCCAGGCCAGGCCCCCTCCAAACCAGAAAAAGGGTAGGTAATGTGTAGGTTAAAGAACTGTCCAAACCAGACATAGCAAAGATAATTCAGTTAAATCTGTGTGTTAGATCCTTTCAAGAGGTTTGCTTTTTAGATTTTCTTTTAATGATTGAAAAAAGATCGCACTGTACACACGGTGTCAAATTGGAAGTTTGATATCAGACACTTTCAAACATCAGTTTTGGTAGCTCAATATTTCATAAATGGTAGAAAACAGTGGTTCAAAAGTCTGGAATGCAAGAAACTGATTTGGGTGTTTTAATGCTATAGACAGGTGATGCTATAGACAGGTGATGCTATAGAGAGGTTGTAACTCTAGACACATCATTATTATAGACACAAAGTTAATATATATATATACAATGTAGGTGGTTACTTGTTGCTATAGAAGGTAACTAGAGACATTTGGCGTGTATAGACATGTAGGTTTCCCAGTGAGTGGTAGATGGTTATCATGTTTATCCAACTGGAGTTGGTTAGTTTTCATGCGTATTATGGTATTACGTTGTCCGTCCGTCCAACCAGCGTAAACCTTTGTTTGTCCGGCAATCCCCTCCTACATTTTTCGACTGATCTCTTTGAAACTTGGTAACATTATCATCATGATATGAAATTGTGTCTCGCTTAAAAGAATTTTGATTCAGCAATTTTTCCAAAAGTTATTGCCCTTTGTTCATTTCAGTATTTGATTTTTGTCTGGCAATCTCCTCCTACATTTTTCAACGGATCTCTTTGAAACTTAGTATGCTAAATAATCATGATATGTTGTTGTGTTTCCGAGAAAAGAATTTTGATTCAACAATTTTTGCAAAAGTTATTGCCCTTTTTTTATTTCAATATTTGATTTTTATCCGGCAATCTCCTCCTACATTTTTTAACGGATCTCTGAAACTTGGTATACATTATAATCATGATATGAAGTTGTGTCTCCCTTAAAAGAATTTTGATTCAACAATTTTTCCAAAATTTATTGCCTTCTGTTCATTTCGGTATTTGATTTTTGTCCGGCAATCTCCTCCTACATTTTTCAAAGGATTTCTTTGAAACTTGGTGTACATTATAATCATAAAATATGAAATCGTGTCTCCCTTACAAGAATTTTGATTCGACAATTTTTCCGAAAGTTATTGCTCTTTGTGCATTTCAAAATTTGATTTTTTTATCCGGAGATTTTCTCCTACATTTTTATAGCATGTCAGCTAACCACTCTTTGAAAGATGCAGATCTTATTTCAATGTAAGAAAGGATATAACACTATATGTCGACGGGTGTATATTGTACTGCCCAGCGGTCCTCTTGTTGAAATTGTATAAAGACTCGATGTTTACCAAATGTCTTACAATTTGAATGGGAAATTGAATTGTAGAGTGTAAGGTAAAAATATAACCAGCCATTATGAGCAGCTTTCAGTTGACTCATGACATTTAGCAATTTCAGAGGTCAAACAGAATTTTCTAGACCTGTCCTTAAAACCCAGGAGTCAAAGCTCAATTTGGGGAGTCAAAAACATACTCTCAAGGGTCTACTGAAAGGCCTGGAAATGAGGTTGGGGAGCTTAATCTCCTGTAATATTCATATTTGATCTGGAAAATCACACGTTTCCCTTGGAAAATATACATTATGTCTGTTTCGGATGGGAGATACAATCGCCATGACAGATGATATCACAAATCATTGTTACATGATTTCATAATCAGAAAATTGACCAGCGAGTGTTAACCAATTTCTAGCAGGTTTCTGCAAATGTTGTGGGAGAACATTGGTATCTGTGATAGGCAGGTAGTTACTATAGACAGATGTAGACACAGGCAGAAAAGGCAGGGTTGATAGTACATAACTACTGATCCTCTTGTGACACAAACCAATAATACATAGATTTGTGTATACATCATGTATGTACACAATGCTAACAAGCTGATGTTACCTTACAGGGTCTCGGACACCCATCATTATCATACCTGCTGCCACCACCTCCATCATCACCATGTTCAACGCCAAGGATATCCTCCAGGATCACAGGTACATTGTTGACATCACGTCTGGTATGTTACAGTATGCATACGTCGGAGTGGGTGGGAATATCTCAATGAGTCTTAATGGCATTAGCTGAATGTACAGTACACTGTGTAATTAAGTCATTGTTTACCTATGTTACAGTACACTGTGTAATTAAGTCATTGTTTACCTAATTTACAGTACACTGTGTAATTAAGTCATTGTTTACCTATGTTACAGTACACTGTGTAATTAAGTCATTGTTTACCTAATTTACAGTACACTGTGTAATTAAGTCATTGTTTACCTATGTTACAGTACACTGTATTATTAAGTCAATGTTTACCTATGTTACAGTACACTGTGTGATTAAGTCATTGTTTACCTAATTTACAGTACACTGTGTAATTAAGACATTGTTTACCTAAGTTACAGTACACTGTGTGATTAAGTCATTGTTTACCTATGTTACAGTACACTGTGTAAATAAGTCATTGTTTACCTATGTGACAGTACACTGTGTAATTAAGCCATGGTTTACCTATGTTACAGTACAATTTGTAATTAAGTCATTGTTTACCCATGTTACAGTACACTGTGTAAATAAGTCATTGTTTACCTATGTTACAGAACACTGTGTAATTAAGTCATTGTTTCCCTATGTTACAGTACACTGTGAAATTAAGTCATTGTTTACCTATACACTGTGTAATTAAGTCATTGTTTACATATGTTACAGTATACTGTGTAATTAAGTCATTGTTTACATATGTTACAGTATACTGTGTAATTAAGTCATTGTTTCCCTATGTTACAGTACACTGTGTACTTAAGTCATTGTTTACCTACGTTACAGTACACTGTGTAATTTAGTCATTGTTTATCTATGTTACAGTACACTGTTTAATTAAGTCATTATTTACCTATGTTACAGTACACAGTGTAATTAAGTCATTGTTTATCTATGTTACAGTTCACTGTGTAATTAAGTCATTGTTTGCCTATGTTACAGTATACTGTGTAATTAAGTCATTGTTTGCCTATGTTACAGTATACTGTGTAATTAAGTCATTGTTTCCCTATGTTACAGTACACTGTGTGATTAAGTCATTTTTTACCTATGTTACAGTACACTGCGTAATTACGTCATTATTTACCTATGTTACAGTACACTATGTAATTAAGACATTGTTTACCTAAGTTACAGTACACTGTGTAATTATGTCATTGTCTACCTATGTTACAGTACACTGAGTAATTAAGTCATTGTTTACCCATGTTACAGTACACTGTGTAATGAAGTCATTGTTTACCTATGTTACGGTACACTGTGTAATTAAGTCAATGTTTACCTATGTTACAGTGACATCACGTCTGGTATGTTACAGTATGCATACGTCGGAGTGGGGGGGAATATCTCAATGAGTCTTAATGGCCTTAGCTGAATGAACAGTACACTGTGTAATTAAGACATTGTTTACCTATGTTACAGCACACTGTGTAATTAAGTCATTATTTACCTATGTTACAGTACACGGTGTAATTAAGTCATTGGTTACCTATGTTACAGTACACTGGGTAATTAAGTCATTGTTTACCCATGTTACAGTACACTGTGTAAATAAGTCATTGTTTACCTATGTGACAGTACACTGTGTAATTAAGCCATGGTTTACCTATGTTACAGTACAATTTGTAATTAAGTCATTGTTTACATATGTTACAGTATACTGTGTAATTAAGTCATTGTTTATCATTGTTTACCTAATTTACAGTACACTGCGTAATTACGTCATTATTTACCTATGTTACAGTACACAGTGTAATTAAGTCATTGTTTATCATTGTTTACCTAATTTACAGTACACTGCGTAATTAAGACATTGTTTACCTAGGGTACAGTACACTGTGTAATTAAGTCAATGTTTACCTATGTTACAGTACCCTGTGTAATTAAGTCATTGTTTGCCTATGTTACAGTATACTGTGTAATTAAGTCATTGTTTGCCTATGTTACAGTATACTGTGTAATTAAGTCATTGTTTCCCTATGTTACAGTACACTGTGTTATTAAGTCATTGTTTACATATGTTACAGTATACTGTGTAATTAAGTCATTGTTTCCCTATGTTACAGTACACTGTGTTATTAAGTCAATGTTTACATATGTTACAGTATACTGTGTAATTAAGTCATTGTTTACCTATACACTGTGTAATTAAGTCATGGTTTACCTATGTTACAGTACACAGTGTAATTAAGTCATTGTTTACATATGTTACAGTACACTGTGTACTTAAGTCATTGTTTACCTACGTTACAGTACACTGTGTAATTTAGTCATTGTTTATCTATGTTACAGTTCACTGTGTAATTAAGTCATTGTTTATCATTGTTTACCTAATTTACAGTACACTGCGTAATTACGTCATTATTTACCTATGTTACAGTACACGGTGTAATTAAGTCATTGGTTACCTATGTTACAGTACACTTTGTAATTAAGTCATTGTTTACCTAGGTTCCAGTACACTGTGTAATTAAGTCCTTGTTTACCTATGTTACAGTACCCTGTGTAATTAAGTCATTGTTTGCCTATGTTACAGTATACTGTGTAATTAAGTCATTGTTTCCCTATGTTACAGTACACTGTGTGATTAAGTCATTCTTTACCTAATTTACAGTACACTGTGTAATTAAGCCATGGTTTACCTATGTTACAGTACAATGTGTAATTAAGTCATTGATTACCTATGTTACAGTACACTTTGTAATTAAGTCATTGTTTACATATGTTACAGTATACTGTGTAATTAAGTCATTGTTTACATATGTTACAGTATACTGTGTAATTAAGTCATTGTTTATCTTTGTTACAGTACACTGTGTAATGAAGTCATTGTTTACCTATGTTACGGTACACTGTGTAATTAAGTCAATGTTTACCTATGTTACAGTACCCTGTGTAATTAAGTCATTGTTTGCCTATGTTACAGTATACTGTGTAATTAAGTCATTGTTTGCCTATGTTACAGTATACTGTGTAATTAAGTCATTGTTTGCCTATGTTACAGTATACTGTGTAATTAAGTCATTGTTTGCCTATGTTACAGTATACTGTGTAATTAAGTCATTGTTTATCATTGTTTACCTAATTTACAGTACACTGCGTAATTACGTCATTATTTACCTATGTTACAGTACACAGTGTAATTAAGTCATTGTTTATCATTGTTTACCTAATTTACAGTACACTGCGTAATTAAGACATTGTTTACCTAGGTTACAGTACACTGTGGAATTAAGTCATTGTTTACCTAATTTACAGTACACTGCGTAATTAAGACATTGTTTACCTAAGTTACGGTACACTGTGTGATTAAGTCATTTTTTACCTATGTTACAGTACACAGTGTAATTAAGTCATTGTTTACCCATGTTACAGTACACTGTGTAATTACCTCATTATTTACCTATGTTACAGTACACTGTATTATTAAGTCAATGTTTACATATGTTACAGTATACTGTGTAATTAAGTCATTGTTTACCTATGATACAGTACACTGAATTATTAAGTCAATGTTTACCTATGTTACAGTGCACTGTGTGATTAAGTCATTGTTTACCTATGTTACAGTACACTGTGTAATTACGTCATTATTTACCTATGTTACAGTACACTGTGTAATTAAGTCATTGTTTACCTATGTTACAGTACACTGTGTAATTAAGTCATTGTTTATCTATGTTACAGTACATTGTGTAATTAAGTATTTTTATTTTGCTGTGTCTATCACAGATTTGTCAGCACAGAAGAGAAGAAAGCACAGGGCACCAAGCGTGACAATGAAGTGTTGATTCAGCGTCGAAAGGCTGGAAACTTGACTGTGCCATACCGAATCATTGACAACCCCCTCAAACTCTCACCTGACGACTGGTAAAGTTCTTTTTCACTTGATACCTTGATTATCTTCACACAAGTTAATACAAATAATAGAAATAAAATGAAATTGCGAAAATAAAATCCTTCTTCCATCACTTACAAAAACCAACTACAGTGTATGCAGTTATAAATTTGTGTTGAGTCAATGAGATCCAATGAGATCAAGTCCCCATTTAGAAATGCTTAGTAATTGAATTAATGTTCCTGAATATTTTTTCACGAACACAAAGCTGTCTGTAACTGTCTGTATTCAATATGTTCTTGAACTCATAAATACTACTATCTTGCAGGAACCATTAATATTTAAATAATTTTGTGGTGTAACTATTTGGATTACTAATTGTAATTTATTAGTTGTTATAACTGTTATAATCACTTTGTAATTCTATGTAATATCTGATATAACTATGAATTGTTTTATACTGATATTTATGTGTAACAATAACCATTCTACTTGTATCCTTTGGTACATTTAGGGACCGAGTTGTAGCAGTGTTTGTTCAAGGGCCAGCATGGCAGTTCAAGGGATGGCCCTGGGATGGTGTTCCTGTAGATATCTTCTCCAGGAGTAAGTATCAGTTTTCTTTATAGATTTTTTACTAATCTTAGTGCTAGAATCTTTAGGCAATGGGGATTGAAAGTTCATCAAATTAAAGACTTGAACTTTTGGCTAAAATAGGTCAGATCTACTAATTTGCTGTAAATGACATGTATTCTCAATCTATTGGGCAAATTTTAACCAACTTGTTGTGGTGGCATGCTTAGCCCATGGGTATCAAAAGTTATATATTAAGTAGAAGGGCTGATTCTGTTAGGGGTTATGAGCAAAGAAAACAGGGTCAAAGTGCTTCTAAAACATCTCACCAACTGCTGCACAGATTTCAATCAAATTGTTGTGATAGCATGCTTAGCCCTTTGGTATCAAAAGTTAAACAAATATAGGGGGTTGACCCTCTTGGGGGACTCTCTTCCAAAACAACTGAACAGGAAATTGATTTCCAAAGCAGTCAGCTTTGTGATTCAAGGCTGTTAATTCTCTTGATTAAGAATCATTTAGTGTTGAAATAATTTTGCTTCATCATGTTTGACAAGAACCTCACCGTGTGATTGGCAGGAGTTAAAATTTAAAATACGATCTCAGTTAATGACTGTATGACTTGGATTGTGAAAGGCTTTGGGACACAAATATTTATCATTAAATGTATATTCAAATCAAAAAGAAATTACGCCCACCATGGGTTGCTTCAATAAAAACAATTTGTTTCTGAAGATTCTGCAAAGTCATTCTTTACTGTAGAAATTGTCTCATAAATCAAGGTCTTATAGTGTTTCAGGCATATTATCAATGAAAGCATATTTAATAAAGGATTGGACATAAACAATGTTTACAGCTTGCACTGCTCCTCTTCCAAGTATGATTATAACAATTTTCTTTTTTGTGTTTTTTTTCCTCTGTAAGATAATACATCATGGCCATATAGTGGATTAAATGTACTTTGGGTTTCTGTCTACTTGTTTCTCGCTTAACAAGCTTATTATTTTACTTTATAGTCAAAGCTTTCCATCTGAAGTGGGCAGAACTTCCAGTTGACACTAATGTGAAGAAGTGGGATGTGTGTGTCGTTAACCTGAACAGAAACAAACGCCATCTTGACCGTGCAAACCTGCAACAAGTCTGGGAGATCCTTGATAAGTATGTCATACTAACTTCTGGACAATCATCAAGTCTGGGAGATCCTTGTTAAGTATGTCATACTGACTTCTGTAATCAACAAGTCTCGGAGATCCTTGATAAGTACAACATACTAACTTCTGTAAAATCAACAAGTCTGGCAGATCCTTGATAAGTATGTCCTCCTAACTTCTGTACAAAAAACAAGTCTGGGAGATCATTGATAAGTATGTCATACGAACTTCTGTACAATAAACGAGTCTGGGAGATCCTTGTTAAGTATGTCATACTGACTTCTGTAATCAACAAGTCTCGGAGATCCTTGATAAGTACAACATACTAACTTCTGTAATTAACAAGTCTGGGAGATCATTGATAAGTATGTCATACGAACTTCTGTACAATAAACCAGTCTGGGAGATCCTTGTTAAGTATGTCATACTGACTTCTGTAATCAACAAGGCTGGGAGATCCTTGATAAGGATGTCATACTAACTTCGGTACAATCATCAAGTCTGGGAGATCCTCGATAAGTATGTCATACTGACTTCTGTAATCAACAAGACTGGGAGATCCTTGATAAGAATGTCATACTAACTTCTGGACAATCATCAAGTCTGGGAGATCCTTCATAAGTATGTTATACTAACTTCTGTAATAAACAAGTCTGGGACATCCTTGATAAGTATGTCCTCCTAACTTCTGTACAATAAACCAGTCTGGGAGATCCTTGTTAAGTATGTCATACTGACTTCTGTAATCAACAAGACTGGGAGATCCTTGATAAGCATGTCATACTAACTTCTGGACAATCATCAAGTCTGGGAGATCCTAGATGAGTATGTTATACTAACTTCTGTAATCAAAAAGTCTGGGAGATCCTTCATAAGTATGTTATACTAACTTCTGTAATCAACAAGTCTCGGAGATCCTTGATAAGTGTGTCATACTAACTTCTGGACAATCATCAAGTCTGGGAGATCCTCGATAAGTATGTCATACTGACTTCTGTAATCAACAAGACTGGGAGATCCTTGATAAGTTTTTCATACTAACTTCTGTACAACAAACAAGTCTGGGAGATCATTGATAAGTATGTCATACTAACGTCTGTAATCAACAAGTCTCGGAGATCCTTGATAAGTACAACATACTAACTTCTGTAATAAACAAGTCTGGGAGATCCTCGATAAGTATGTCATACTCACTTCTGTAATCAACAAGACTGGGAGATCCTTGATAAGTGTGTCATACTAACTTCTGGACAATCATCAAGTCTGGGAGATCCTAGATGAGTATGTTATACTAACTTCTGTAATTAACAAGTCTGGGAGATCCTAGATGAGTATGTTATACTAACTTCTGTAATTAACAAGTCTGGGAGATCCTTGATAAGTATGTCATACTAACTTCTGTAAAATTTCGTACTTCTTCTATATTTACCTGAACAACAACTTGTATTATCTGGAAAATCTTGGATGAGTTTGTAATATTTCTGATGAATCCAGTATATTTTCTGAACAACAGCTTCTTTGAAAGATCTCTAATGAGTACAACGTCATTCTGCACATGTCAACCTTTTTTTATAAATTCACACATTTTTACATCTCCTTCAACTGCAGCAGTAGAATGTACAGTAAGGCTAAATATATTTCACATAGGAGATAAACTTCACGTGTTATTGATGGGCATCATGTTGTGTTATATATTAAAACAGAATGTAATGTATTCATCACCAGATGGCTTTGTTGCAAGCGAAATCAGATAAACCAATTTGAACAGCATCTTATTTAGAATTAAAAATGTTTATATGAAGTTTGCATGAATTATCAGTGTGGCTTAAAAATAGAAATGAACAAGAGATAGAGTGTATATACATCGTACATTGTTGTTGAAATTTCCTGCTTTTTCGATAGTCAATTACCTCTGTGTATTTATAATAGCAAGACTGACGAAGCTTATAACCTATGTATGTTTTATTTCAGGTACATGGCTAAACACAAGCCTCACCTGAGACACTGAGTTTAGAACAGCATGAAGATTATAACACTGGTAAACTCGAGAGTTTACACAAAGGTTCAATACTGACAGTACCAGAAATAGTGATACAAACCTTCTGGGATTGTACTTGTGTTATTGACTGGGACTCTGTATGGCAGCTTGGCAGATTGAGATCCTCACCTGTTACTAGGAGAATGAGATACTAGAAGCTGTCCCTGACATAACTAATGTTCCCAGATCTACGTACGGTTTTGTTAGACTTCGCTTTTTTGTACAGGTTTCAATATTGTGATGGATTATTGATTCACAGTCCCATTATCTGTATCGAAGATGTTTTGGACAGTGACATTTCTAGAAGCAAGTCTAATTTTCATGGAATGAATTTGAATGAGACATTTACCTAATTTCTCCTGCTGTAATGTTACTGAAGATTCACACAGACATTTGTGTGATATTATGAGTATAAATATTGACTTGTGTCTCGGACACATTTTGGCTTCCTAAATTTACCAGTCCAAACAACTTCTTTATCAGTGATCTATCATCTAGGACATGATCATGATGGCGTGGTAAATTTGCTATCCCTGTCAATTTCTTTATCAGTGCTATACAAAGTTGGGTATTCAAAAAATGAGGTCTTTTCAGAATGAAGTATAGCGTTTCTGAATAGAATGGTTATGATCATGGAAAAATGAATGGTGGAATGATTCCATTTAGATTTCTTCGCTTCAAATGAATATTGGGATGCCTTTTCCACCTGTCGGTCGGCTGCCAGCGTTCAGGTTGAGGAATAACTTATGAACATGGGTATGCTTCACCTGTGCCACTGTAGCACTGTTTGATCAAGGTGATGATATCATGTTTGACTGTTGGAGTTATAAGTCCCAAACAGGTACTACCTTACATAGGTATAGGCTTGCACTCCATTCATTAGTAAGCGTGTGCTTCACTTTGTCCAGTACATATCCCAAATACACTCGCCTACAATTTAGTGACCTTTACTAAAATCTAACCTTGTACTCCAATATATACAGAGTTACCACCCTTTGATTACTACAAAACTCTTTCTCCACAACAGATTCCATATACTGTCAGCTTCCATATCAAAATTTTGTATGCAAGTACCTGTTGGGACGGAAGTTTCACACACTGAAGTCAGGTTTTGTATGCGACTATATGAGAGTTATGGCCCTTTGTACAGTTGATCTGGAGGTGTGGGCTTATGGATAGTTTGGAATACTATTCCTTAATGTATCATAATTTCATGGAAAAAGTCTTTTATTTCACCTTTGTTTCATGATGTCCATGTTTTCTAAAAAAAAAAATGAGTTCGGAGGAGTTATGGAATAATACACAAATCAATTTTACTATACACAATCTTTTGATATTACTTGATTTTGTATTTTTTTTCTAACATAATGCAATGAAAAGAAAATTAGAATATGTCATCATTTTCATTGCTGAATTTTGGTAAACTGGGAGCCATGCATAAATAAAAGGGAATATTGGATCTAAATGATATACCTGGTATATACTAGTACAGGAAACAGTGCACATTGAAACTGTTTTATTTTTTTAAAACATACGTGGACTGTTTACATTTGGTTTTCTAAAGAATACCATTCTATATATTGTTTGTTTATAATACAATTCTGTGTATTGTTTGTACAGATTATCGTTTGATGTATTGTTTGAATGGTAAATGTGCTGTAGTTGTGAAATGATTGGGAGAGTGAGGCGGTGAATGTATTAATGTGTGTGTATGTAGAAGTGTATGTGTGTATATCGGTAGGGTGTGATGATATCTCGGTAGAGACAGTGAGGAAGGTGTAGAGGTAAGCAGTTGTGTATAAACATAATTATGTACAAATACAGCTGTTTTCAAAAATAAAATGTGCTTTTTTGAAAACATTTTTGGTACATTATATATTTCATACCAGTTCCATGACTTGCTGGGTTTAGCATTAATACCAGCTGGGAAAGTCCTTGTCCAGACAGCAAATTAAAAACAACCGAAACATTGACACTGGGCTTTATTGTGATTGGCAAGGATTGCTGGGCTTGACCATAACAAACCTGGGTACACATGACCACAGGGGTCACTTTGACCATGACTTATAAGTTGAAACTAGGCTTGACCAGAACCAATCTGGATACAGAGCCTGACAACACAGGCCTTGATCATGACCAGTGAGTCATGTTACAGCAAGTTTGACCACAACTAATCAGAGAAACAAGGCTCGACTGCGTTTATACAGGGGAACAGGGCTTGACCATGACAACAGGGGACAAAGGGCTTGACCACACCCGATCAGGGTTGTCATGTGAAAAAATGAGAAGGATGGGATGAAGAGCTTGACCATTACTGATCAGAGGACACAAAGCTTGGTACTAGGCATCAGTGAATGTACACTCGGTTCTTCTGTCTTTAACACTTGAAATAGTGAGAGGCTCTCCAATCTGTTTGCTGAGATGTTTAAATTTACACTAACGTTAGTACATGCATGTGTGCTTAGCTGTTGATAATTACACTATATGTACTGTCGACTGAGATTGGAAAGTTGACGATTACACTGCGTTATCCCATAACATACATGAAAGTTGCTTAATTTGTGTTATTTAACTTTGCTGAAATTGGTTCATAGTAAACTCTGTGTTAACCAGACAATGACTGAAATCAAAACGGAATAGTTAGGTCAGTTTGGTTTGGTTTTATTTGGTTTAACGGCCTATTAACAGCTAAGGTTAATAAGGATGTGCCTCCATGTTTGCTGGAGGCGCTATGTTCATGCATTGCCTCCTTGCGATAGTACGAAACTGGTAACATTTTTAGCTCCCCTTGCCGAAGGGCAAGTGAGCTTATGCCATGGCGCAGCGTCCATCGTCCGTCCGTCAACTTTTCCTTTAAAACACTACTATTTGTGAACGGCTCAGTAGATTTTGACTAAATTTGGTCTGTGCTTCCATTGGGGGCAGAAGGTTGGGGCCAAATAAGGGAAATAGAGGAAATACCTTTAAAATCCTTGTACCATAGCGATTAAGGGATTTTTTTCTTATTTAGTCTTGAGCATCCTTGGTCCAAGGGGACTCAGTTTTGTATAAACTGTAGGTGGGACAGAACCCATTGCTTTCCCCACTTGGGCGAATATTCCATATTAAAGCAAAAAGTAAGGTAATGCCAAAGAAGGGGCTAGTAAACAAAAAAAAATAGTTAGGCAGAAGAGAGACAATATAAGAATCCCAAAAATTGCAATGGGTGCAGCAGATTTATGTTGACAGCTTTTGTGTCTCCAAGTAGAGAGCACAAGCAAATCCCCAATTCTGCAGGGGTTCTCACATTGGTCGCCTCTTACAACATGATGGGGGGGGGAACAACAGGTGTAATCTTTACTCAATCCTCGACCTTCAGGGGTGAAGTAGAGACAAAGAAGCAACTCCCCAATTCTTCATTAGGTCCCACATAACTTACCTCTTAGGAAATGTACTCAGGGGCGTTTCTAGGATATTTGAAAGAGGGGGCGTAGAATCAAATCTTTCGCCAAGCAGAGCGAGGCGATACATTTTTTGGACCTTTTTTTGCTAAAAAACATAAAATAATTGTGAAATGCACTAATGTAACGGTTCCTGACTTGGAGCATGAACATAAACATTAACACCCTGATACTTTAACTATAAAATATACATGCTCCAAGTCAGGAACCGTTACATTAGTGCATTTCACAATTATTTTGATGTTTTTTAGCAAAAAAACATAAAATAATTGTGAACGCAAAATAATTGAACGCAAAATAAGAATAATCAACACAATAAAAGCAACATTCAATGGCAAAAACAGCGGTTTAAAAAGGTATGTTGCATTGACACTGAAATAAAACCCACGATGGAGGATATCACAGGGTTCAAACATATATACTACTCACATGACAATCAACGAAACCAATTTAGTCATGGAGGATATCACAGGGTTCAAACATATAAATACTACTCATATGACAATAAAAGAAACCCATTTAGTCATGGAGGATATCACAGGGTTCAAACATAGTTATATATATACTACTCGCATGACAATTAACGAAACCCATTTAACCTGGAGGATATCAAAGGGTTCAAACATATATATACTACTCACCTGACAATTAAAGAAACCCATTTAGTCATGGAGGATTTCTCAGGGTTCAAACATATATATACTACTCATATGACAATTAAAGAAACCCATTTAGTCATGGAGGATATCAAAGGGTTCAAACATATATATACTACTCACCTGACAATTAAAGAAACCCATTTAGTCATGGAGGAAATTACAGGGTTCAAATATATATATATACTACTCACATGACAAGTAACGAAACCCATTTAGTCATGGAAGATATCACAGTGTTCAAACATATATATATATATACTACTCACATGACAATAAACGAAACCCATTTAGTCATTGAGGATATCACAGGGTTCAAACATAATTATATATATACTACTCGCATGACAATTAACGAAACCCATTTAGTCATGGAAGATATCACAGTGTTCAAACATATATATACTACTCACATAACAATTAACGGATATCACAGGGTTCAAACATAAATATACTACTCACATGATATTTAACGAAACCCATTTAGTCATGGAAGATATCACAGGGTTCAAACATATACATATGCTACTCACATGACAATTAACGAATCCCATTTAGTCATGGAGGATATCAGAGGGTTCAAACATATATATACTACTCATATGACAATTAAAGAAACCCATTTAGTCATGGAGGAAATTACAGGGTTCAAATATATATATATACTACTCACATGACAATAAACGAAACCCATTTAGTCATTGAGGATATCACAGGGTTCAAACATAGTTATATATATACTACTCGCATGACAATTAACGAAACCCATTTAGGCATGGAGGATATCACAGGGTTCAAACATAGTTATATATATACTACTCGCATGACAATTAACGAAACACATTTAGTCATGGAAGATATCACAGGGTTCAAACATATACATATGCTACTCACATGACAATTAACGAAACTCATTTAGTCATGGAGGATATCACCGGGTTTAAAAATATAATACTACTCACATGACAATTAACGAATCCTATTTAGTCATGGAGGATATCACCGGGTTTAAAAATATAATACTACTCACATGACAATTAACGAATCCTATTTAGTCATGGAGGATATCACCGGGTTTAAAAATATAATACTACTCACATGACAATTAACGAATCCTATTTAGTCATGGAGGATATCACAGGGTTCAAACATATAAATACTACACATATGACAATAAAAGAAACCCATTTAGTCATGGAGGAAATTACAGGGTTCAAATATATATATATACTACTCACATGACAAGTAACGAAACCCATTTAGTCATGGAAGATATCACAGTGTTCAAACATATATATACTACTCACATGATATTTAACGAAACCCATTTAGTCATGGAGGAAATTACAGGGTTCAAATATATATATATACTACTCACATGACAATTAACGAAACCCATTTAGTCATGGAGGATATCACAGTGTTCAAACATATATATATACTATTCACATGACAATTAACGAAACCCATTTAGTCATGGAGGATATCACAGGGTTCAAACATATATATATATATATTATTCACATGACAATTAACGAAACCCATTTAGTCATGGAGGATATCACAGGGTTCAAACATATATATACTACTCACATGACAATTAACGAAACCCATTTAGTCATGGAGGATATCACAGGGTTCAAACATATATATACTACTCACATGACAATTAACGAAACCCATTTAGTCATGGAGGATATCACAGGGTTCAAACATATTAATTATTATATACTACTCACATTTTGCTAAGGATCACTTTTATTTTTGAGCATATGTGAAAATAAATATTTTATTTGGTTTATTCGGTGATCATTTTTTAAAAATTGATTGTTCTTTTAATTCATCAGCATGCAAAAATTCCAAAATCGTAAGAAAATGGTTACCCTTAAAATTGGTAACAACGAGGTATTCACTAAAAAACTTAAANAAACTCATCCTAAATAAACAGAAACTGTTTTAGTATCAAGTGTGACGCCCATGACCATCAATTATAGTTTCACAACGTCTGCGCATGTCCTAAATGATATCACGTATCCGGTTTTGTTGGATAGCGTTCCACTCAGCTACCAAAGCTGTTCCCAGCTCCTGGAGCGTTCTTAGCTGAACATTTCTGGCAGAGAGAGCTGTCTGCAGCATGTTCCACACATGCTCGATGGGATTTAGACCCAGCGAGTGGGCTGACCAATCCATTCATTGAATAGTCTCTTGCTGTAGATACTGCTCAGTCACCCTTGCTCTATCATGTGGCCCATAAGGATGAAGTCAGGGCCGATAGCGCCAACGTAGGGTCTGACATAGGCATCAAGGATTTCATCGCAGTAAATCCGGGCTGTAACGGTACCATAATGGAAGACATGGAGGTCAGTTTTCCCACGAAGGTTTATGCCTCCCTACACCATCACTGAACCTCCGCCATATCGGTCATGTTCCACAACGTGACCTGCCTGGAACCTCTCCCCGGGTTGTCTCCATACTCTTACGCGCCTGTCGGTGAAGTCGAGACAGACTTCACCGTTACTTCTTTAACTGATTTAGATGTGTCCGCTGTGTAAGAAAGAGAACAATTATTAAAGAAGCTAAATAACGTACGGAAGTGAAAATAACGACAGAGCGAAGAGATAAAATGGCGTCTTTTCTCCCTCCTTTTGGCGTTATTTCGTTATTTAGCTTTGGCGTTTTGGCGTCTTTTCGCTTTGGCGCTTTGGCGTTATTTCATTATTTCGTTATTTCGCTTGGCGTTATTTCGCGGGCGACAAAGCGAA